AGGTGAGCGATACCGAAGAGTCCGTCCACAAGCAGATTGGTATCTCCGCGAGTAATTAACGAGAAGGTCCCAGGCTGACGCAAACGCGTCCTCAGAAACCGGCAAATTGGAGATTAGCTGAGCGGCTTTTCCCTCCGAATAACCACCACCGAGCCTCGTATCACTTGACGGGAACGCTCTCAGCGTTAGCCCTTAACCGGCCCTTTTCTGGGCCACCTGAATTTAGTATAGTAAGATTTGTACATATAATATAAATATATTTTATTGTTACACTTAGAAAAGAAGTCTCGTGATTGACTTCGCCTCTTTACGCTCTACCTATCCCTCGCGCCATCTTCCGAAGGCGAACACGCCTCTATACTACCCACATAATATATTTCAATTTTAATCAATTTGACCGAAACAATCCATTTTCACCTTTAAGATGTATGAAGTATCCTTTCTATTAGAAATTGATATAAAACCTGCAAGGCGTGCTATTACAATATAAGATTAAAAGTATGCTAACTATTTCGCTTATACAGGGTGTCCCATTTTAATGTCCCACCCCAAATAACTTTTATTTTTGATTGTAGAAAAAAATGTTTCAGACAAAAGTCGTATGGTTTCGAGGGGGCCACATGATAAAAATATGGACTTGACCTTGAGTGAGCTTTTCAAGGTGCGGTCAATGTGATCGATGTTTTCTTAAATGGAACACCCCATTTTTTATTGCATATTCTTGTAGGGCTTCTTGAGAGGCAATTTTATTTTACATAAATTTTTAAGAGGTTTTAAGGAGGACTATTTGCTCTTACCTTAAATAGATACTAGATTAGCTGTTCAAAATGAGCACCATTATTCACTTCTTGATAGTAAAATAATCGATTAAATCCCGTCTTACTCCCGTCTTACGTTCTGGAATGTTTCCCTGGATATGTCCCTACAGGCTGCTATTAGGTGTACAAATAAGTTTCCGCCGTTTTTTATCAAAAATTGGGCATTTATTGTGAAAGAACGGAACCTAATGTTTTATTTGAAGTCTCGCCTTAAGATCTTCGATGCTATTAGGGGCAGTTTTGTACACTACCAACTTGAGATAGCCCTATAGAAAAAAAATTGTTGGGAGCCAGATCAGGTGAGCGCGCTGGCCATTTAATTGGGCCACGACGGCCTATCCACCGATTGGGATACATTTCATCGAGGTAGGTGCGCACTTGGCGAGCATAATGAGCGGGACACCCATCTTGTTGGAAAAACATATTATCCATATCAAATTCTAGATTTCCTTCGTCATCCCTAGAATTTTCGACTAACAATAAGTGTAATTAAAGGATCTATCGTGTCCGTGAGCAATTCCAAATACAAATCACCTGTCAAATTTGCATCAATAAACAGAGGTTCAATTACGTGGTCTCCTAAAATTCTTGCCCACACGTTCATTTTTTCTGGCCTTTGCGTATGGCCTTCTCTCAAAATGTGAAGATTATTTGAATCGCTCCAACATCTTACATTGTGTTTATTAACAAATCCATTCAAAGAGAAACTGCTCTCATCACTGAAACAAATATTTTTCAAAAATTGATCATGTTCAGCGATTCTTTCTGTCATAAGTTCACAAAATGGGATTCGTCTATCGAAATCGTCCTTTGCTAACTTTTGTTCGATATGCATTTTTTTACGGGTGAAATTTATGATGTTTGAAAGTTTTGGCAATTGTATTTTTAGAAACATTACTTTCATCACTAGTTATTTTAACGATGTTTGCCCATCCATACTTACATGACCTATTATTTCCATTTCTGTGAGATCGTCCATCTTTGGTCTACCAGATCGTGGCCGGTTTTTAACAGTTTATGTTCCTCGAAATTTTGTTATAAGCTGACAAACATATACTTATGACATATTGGACGTTCTCGATTAATTTTATTAAAGAATCGTATCAGAAATTAAATTGATAGAAATAATTACAATGTTATCAACCGCATTTTGCAGGCTTTATATACGTTCATGACAAGAACTTTAATACGGGTACAGAAATTGAATAGTGCGCCGCATAGCGGTAAGCAAATAAACATGTGCATCTCTAATAAATATCTTTGGTAGCTTCTTGGTGGACATGGATATGTGGATAACATCCCAGCAAGCAAAATGATGCAAACTTTGCGCAAAGTGTTTACGGGCAAGTATTTTTCTATTATTTACAGCATCGTGAGACAAAAAATTTTGCCGTCAATTTGCTTCAAACTTTTTGACAAACCAAAACAAAACAAATGTTTGCTACAAAATTGTTGTCAAAATTAAAGCACACCTTGTCGCAAAGCTTTGGCAAAACGTGATTTTAACATTCTTGGTTATCTGGGATGTGAATATCTAATGAATATCTTCGGTAGCTACTTAGTGGACATGGATATATGGATGAAACGTGTATATCTAACAGATATCTTTGGTAGCTACTTGATAGACATGGATAGATTGGATAACATGTATATATCTAGTGGATATCTTTGGTAGCTTTTTGGTGGACATGGATATACGGATAATGTGTACACATCCATTAGATATCCTCGCCAGTTATTTGAGAGATATAGATATTTTATTCATCTATTAGATGTCTACTAGTTATCCATAGTAGACATGGACATGGAATAGATATGTAGATATTCACTAGATATCTCTTCGATATTCTGTTCGGTGTGGGATATTATATTGGTAAAATTTCGGGGGCAGCCGCGCATGATTTGCCGTTTCAGTTAGTGCCAGCAGAAAACAAGCAATTTCTGCATCATTATATGCTACAAAAAACGCTGCAAAATTTAAGCAGAAGTTCTTGGCATAAAAGCAGTAGATTTAAAGCATTGTGTGTTGGCACAATATCCCAGATAGCAAAATGCTAGCAGTATGCCAGCAGTATGCCAGCAAAGTCAATATGACTTTGCAGCAGATTCCGCTCTGCTGCGTCCTCATTAAGTTTAATTTCTGGCAGCACGGTTTGCCGATATAATATAACAGAGAAAATAGAGCAAAAATCGAGTATTATTTGCTATTACGTCGTGACAGCAGATATGTAACAAAAATCGAGCGAAGTCTGCCATATCAGATCTGACGGCAGAAATGCGGCAGAAATCAAGCATGGTCTGCCGTTACAATGTGACGGCAGAAACGCAGCAAAAGTCGAGCATTGCCTGCTGTCACAATGTGACGACGAAAACACAGTAAAGTTAAAACACGCCTGCAAAGCATAATTATTACTAATATAGATACAATAAAATCTGAATATTGGCATAGTTATAAATAATTAATTAAATATATAAATTTAACCTGTGTGCAGGAGCCATTACATATTTTTAATTTTGCTAACCGCGCTTTGCGATCTTTGTATTTGCCTATAACAGAAACTTGGTTACGAGATAGATATGTCATATAGCGGTAAACAAAAGAACTGTAACTTGATACAACATATCTTAATATTGCTGTGATTCTACCATTATTTTATGACAACAGATCATGCTGTGTTTCTGCTGTGTTTTTGCTGTTATCTTTTGAAATGGCATGCTTAATTTCTGCAGCATTTCTGCCGTTACGCCGTGCTTGCAGATAAACTCGATTTCTAACGATATTCTGCCGATATAGCATGATGTGTCACGTTATGTTCAGTTTTTATTTAGTTTCTGTTGACATATTGTGCCAACACGCAATGCTTTAAATCTATTGTTTTTATGCCAAAACCCATACAGCACAGAACGTTGCAGCAACATTGTAACATTGCCGCAATGCTGCTACAATGTTGCAATATTGCTGCAATGTTGCTGCAACGTTCTGTGCTGTATGGCTGTATGGGAAACTTCTGCTTAAATTTTGCAGCATTTTTTGGAGCATATAATGATGCAGAGATTGTTTGTTTTCTGTTACATTTTTGCCGGCACTAATTGAAATGGCAAATCATGCGCGGCTGCTGCCAGAATTCTAACGATATAATATGTAATGTATAATTTGCAATACGTGATCGGGCAAACTTGGCTATCTGGGATGTTAACACAACCTAAATAAAAACTGAACATAACATGACACATCATGCTATATCGGCACTCACACGGAACAAAAACCTCTAATAAATATCCAGTAGATGTTCATCATGGAGATTCGAAACTTCTATTAGACATCCATATAATCTCTTATAGACATCTACTAAACATCCACAGTTCCGCATTTCTTACTTCCATTCGGCATCTATTAGACATATTCATATATGTCACATGGATGTCATATGGTGTAATCATAGATATTTCATGGAGCTTTGATATTCTCATGAATAATAGTCCTCATAGCACATTAACATCCCAATAAAGTTACACCTTAAACTGTAACATGGTAACATTCCACGGAGATTAATAAACCTGCCATTAACATCTCAGTGACATAAAAATGTTTGTTTTAACTCATTCCACTAACATCCCAGAGACCTTTCGCGTAACGTTGTATTAATATTCATATAACATGTCAGAAATCTCCTAATATTATTTTTAATAAGAAACCCTTGCAAAAGAAAATATTATATTGGCAAAAATTGATTAAACACTATTGGTTTTCAATAGCTTTTAATCATTTTTTTACCAATAATTGAATAGTTCAAACTTTTTTTTTTTAATATGGAATCCCGCAAAAATTCATAAAATTAAATAAAACGAGCTCTTTATTAGTGTGTTTTTGGAAATATAAGATATGTAAATATATACAGGGTGTCCCGCAACGTGATGTCCACACTGAAACTGTGTATTCTTTGTGTCATTCTAAGTCAAAAAGTCTTAATACACATATGCCTTAAAGTCGCTTAGACAACTGATGCTTCAGGCGTAATGATAATATTGCGCGCCAAATTTAAATATCAATAATCATTCGGGATACATTCGTTTATATGAACCTGTTTGCTTAAAATGACCGATATCATTACCTCCCAGAATATTGACATTTCCTCCTGGAACACCCGTATATACATATATAAAATAAATAATTTACACTTGTTTATTTTCTATCCGTTTATTTGCATTTAAGCAAATGTAGTGCTGCAATTTCTTTACAAATTTTTATAAAAGTATAAAAACTTGGTTGATTTTGCATATATAACAATTTGAAGAAAATATTGAAACAAATATATGCTAGGCATTATTCCTTAAAGACTTTTTAAAATATTGTTGAGAATATATAAGAATAAGAAACATATAGTTTTACTAGCTTTTCTTTCTTGATGGCATCAAAACATACTTTCTCTCATATATTCTTTCTGAGTGGCACACCATATGTTTTCGATAATAATCCATTTTTCAAATTACTGACTTTTAACAGTAAATCTTTTGACTTTTCATTATAGCCACGTTCGATTACGAAAGAAAAAGAAAGAGAAAGTTAAAAAAATATGTGAATCTTTTCCTTAAGTTATAAAAATATTAATTATCAAAATAAATTAATTTTTCCATAGATCACATTATTTGTGTTTAATAATATGAATTGATAAAAACCAATTGATTTTCGTTATATAAAGCAACAAAAAAAATGATTTTTTGCTTTGGATGTTATGATTCTCAACGTGGCTACAATGCAAGAGATTCTCCAGGAATCTTAATAAAACAAGAGATTCTAATCAAATCAATATGACTATGCATATAAGGTACATGAGAGGTAGCACGTTCGTAACATCTGTTACAACACATAATATTTATATATTGACGCGCATATATCATTTTCGCATTATATAATTATTGCATAATATATATGCCGTTTACGTATATAATAGTAAGATATATAGTATGCTGAACTCTCTTTGTATGTCCATAATTTACAAAACGAAACATTATATAAACTGTGCATGATGCACTATAAAGTTACAATAAGTATTTGTATTACAATTAGGCACACTTTATCACATTTGTGGTGTAAATTCTGATGCGTTTGCAAGATAGAATACTTTTGCATTCATTATAATACTCTGACTAGAGAAATACATAAGTTATCAGTGAAAATGCAGATATCGAAACAATAATACATCCATTCACACATTTCTTAGTTAGTTATCTTAATTATAAATATTTTTCATTTGATATCTTATATATAGATATTAATTTATTTACAAATCATCGATTTCTGTTACTTCTATAATATTCCTAAACAAGTTTTTTCAGCTTAGGCATTCTCTTGGGGCACTTCTCCACATGAATACTCCAGTGACGAGTTTGGCATCTCTCATCGCAGTAAAAGGCTGCCTCGCAGCCCAGGCACTTGAACATGGAACCGGTTAGACCACAATTGGAGCACTCTAAATTGCTCGTAGTCTCCAGAGTGCGGTTCACCTTTCCCAAATGTGGTGTTTCGCAGTTACGGCTTTCTTTCCTCGTAGGTTCCTTGACAGCCAACGCGCTGTTGGATGTCAAAACCGGAGCGGATTTGTATGAAGTCGACGTGGGCACCGAAGACGTTGATTCCTGCGCATTGTCACCGAAAATGGCCGAAGACGGCTGAGGATAAGAGACATCGTCCGTCTTCACATAAGGTAATCGATCCAAAATGAGATTCTGTAGTTGACGGTAACCACCATTGTTCAGTCGCGAATCTATGTTGACACCAGCAACGGATTGCACCGGTTCTTGTGGTAAACACTCGCGACTGGCCGCCGGCCTATTTGCTGCCAGCAACTGCGAGGATTCGTTACCCATAACGCCACCGATACCGCCAGATACAATTTCCGCGTCGGTTCTACCGTACGACGGTAGAACCGTGCCGCGTTGTCGGCCAAGGGAGGCCGCCGCAACTACTGCGGCTGCCGCCGCCGCAGCAACGACATCCGGAATCATCCTATTTCTGCCACATTGACTGTTGTTCGCGGCAGAATAGCCGGTCAGAGCAGTACGCGCCAAGGTACCGTGTTGTGCGGTGGCTGCCAACGACGGGGGTGGCGGTAGTAAGAGCGACGGCAGACAAGCCGATGAGGCGCCGTTCTGCGTGGCGGCCGTTGCCGTTCTCAGTCGATGATCATAGTCCAGACCGGCAGCGGCGGCATGCTGATAGCCGCCCGCGGATAATGAAGCAGGAAACTTAAGGAGATCCGTAGGGGTATAGTGGCGAGTTGCCGCGTCCTGAATGTGCGCGGGGAAACGCTTATCGAGATGCTGCATTTGGCGAAGCGGCGCAGCGGGGTGTGAGTCCTGCAAACTTATCGGATAACCGCTTATCGATGATGTAGTGGAATGCAGACGTGAGTGATAAGAGTAATCGCCATAAGGACATATTGCTGAGTGGTAACCAAAAGCTGCGCCACCGTAAGGATCAATCTGCAAAGATAAATAACTAAATGATGAAATTATACTATATTTATCGCAGACAAAATCCTTTCTGAACAACTGATTAATATAATAAAATGTTGATAGACATTATACTAGTAATGTAGTAAACACTGTTTGTTGCAAATTATATAACGTGGCAGTAACAAATAATATAACACAATAAGTTACTTATATGATATATAACTGATATATCGTATATGTTACTATGTAATGTTACACATGCTTACTGTATTAAATATTACTGCAATTTAACATTGTTATCTTAGTGTTATAATACAACAGAATATCATTGCAATATAATATTGCTATATACGTGTTCCTTCGCTTGCCGCTACGCGGCAGACTTAACTAACTCGTAGTCAAGTTTTTGTCATAAAGTGCATATAAAGCCCACAAAAGACGGATACTAACATAAGATACAAAATATTTTTTTTTTTAAACAATTTAATTTCTGATACAATTCCAATTAGAGATCCAGAATATTAAACAGATTATTTGAGATTGAGCGGGTAAATCGGAAATAGTCCATTTGCTACCCATTTGAAGCAAAAAATCTAATTTTGATAAAAATTAAATCGCAAGTTTTATAAATTAAATACATATAAATTATTTTTTTTTTTATTTATTTAATTACCAAATCTATGGATTCTATATAAACCAATTCTATATGGAGTATTACTACGATATAACAATGATATAACATATGTTATCCCTGCCGAAAATGGTCGATTAAAACGGATTAAAAAAAATGTAATCCGAATCGATCGGGATTTCTGCACCGAAAATGCGGTATTAAAACCGATTGAAAATAGTCAAATCGAAAAACCGATTAAAACCGATTCAAACGGATTATGTTTTAATCGGTTTTAATCGACCATTTTCGGCAGGAATATTACATGTTATATTTAAGTGGGAAATTACAATTAACCAGTAACTTATCGGTAATACTTATGTATATTACTTGTAATTCCGTTTTATTGCTCTCATATAACATTAATATAACAGTGTTTACTGGGGATATAGTGCATTCCAAATGTATCTTAAGGTTAGGTCTCTAAAGACAGAATGGGTATTTATAGATCGTCCAAAAATCGATAGTAGGTATATCACGGTTTAATTGATTTGTTATGTTTTATTGAAAAACTATTATTTCTTACCGCATAATTAGGTGGATAGAACTGGGTAACCGAGATGGGGGGACAGATACCCGGCCTCACAGGCGCAGCCGACGATGCTGCCGCGTACAATTGTTGCTGACGTTGCTGATACTGTTGACGCTGCCATCTTTCCGTATTCCATTGCGGTGCTACGTTGATTATATTGTTTCGTATCGCGTTACTCGATGCACTTGCACGGGTCTTTTGTGCCTCTAGTCCGGGAACCTGCATACGCAAAAATAGAATTTTTCAATAATCTATTTCATTATCGAAGAAAAGTAGTCACGTTTTTAGATAAAAATAGATGTACTCACACGAACAGCTTCCCCCGTCGACGCGGTTGGTAAAGTAATTCCAGATTGTAATTTGGACTTTGATTTGGCAGCCTGCTTCTTTGACATTCGTGCTACCCAATTGCCCAATGTAGGAAATTGTTCTGTTATAATGCGGTTTCCGTTGTTTCGTTGACTAGTAGGCTCCTGAATGACTTTGCTGCTGCAGCTGTTAGGCAAGCTGATACGCGTGAAAAAAGGAGTATTAAAAAAATTTATATTATCTACCCAGATAGCCAAGAATGTTAAAATCACGTTTTGCCAAAGCTTTGCGACAAGGTGTGCTTTAATTTTGACAACAATTTTGTAGCAAACATTTGTCTTGTTTTGGTTTGTCAAAAAGTTTGAAGCAAATTGACGGCAAAATTTTTCGTCTCACGATGCTGTAAATAATAGGAAAAGGCTTGCCCGTAAATTTTACGCATAGAAGAACATGTATGATGCTACTTCACATGCTAATTCACGGTGTAACACAAACTTTACGCCAATTAGTAGCAAATCTTGTTATACACGCTATAACAGCAAATTTACGACAAGAACAGAGCAAACCTTATTGTACACGATATGATAACACATTTACGGAAAGAACAGAGCAAATATATATACTTAATATTATATTATTACACATTAATATTACATTTTAAAAAATTGTGTATATTAATATAAATTAAATTTTTTATAGCGTTATTACATTTTATAATATATGAAATCACACTTACACGACACATTGTTGATTCGAACTACTAACGGTAGATCCAGATTGAGTGAATCCCAAGGACATTGTTGGATCTAGTGCCACAGATTGATTCATACTTGATGCCATCATCTAGAAGTACATTAAACGCAATTTAAATTATTTTTCTAAAATAACTCAAACTCGTTTGCAATAAAAAGAAATAAAAAATAAATAGATGAGTGATAATAGTATTAAAACATATTAAGCAACTAATTATTTATTAATTGCTCTAGTTAAATTATTATGTGCATTAATTCACACAAATAGAGATTTAACGGAAGAAAATATAAAATCAAGAAAAAGCTTAAAAAATAATTATGCAAATTAATCTCAACAAATTGTATTAATTGTATATTGTTCCAACAGAAAAATTAAAAATTTTTATAAGGCTCTGCACAAAAAGCAAAATAAAACAGGAAACAGGCAAATAAAAGCCGAGCGCAGGAGATTGTAGCGCAAATAAATTTTCAAATTTAAAAAATCCACTAAAAGAAAATCTCACAAATGTTAAAAAAAACACGCCAAGTATATAAAAAATATCCCAACTTGTACGCAACAAAAAGTTTCAAAAATATCTACTTCTAAAAAATAATTTATAAAAAAGTTTTCCCCTAAAAAATAAAGAATCCCTAAAAAATAAAAAATAAAAAGCAAATATGAAATCAATATTTAACTAGCCAAGTATTTAAAAATAATTCAGTTTGTGAGGATTTGTAATTTAAATAGCATTCGCCATAAAATCAATCTTGCATTTACAGAAATATTATAGATTCTCTCGAGAAAATTAAAATGCATTTTATTTTTATTAAAAAATTACACTATTATGTTCCAAATAAATATTTTGTATAATATATAAAATAGCACTATT